AAATATCTTGTTTGGAGGTTTAGATTGTGTTTTTGTTGTAAAACCACAAAAGTTAATTTTGAGTGATTGTGAAAAATCTCTACTTTTTGTTGAGATTGATAATCCCTCAATTTTAACTGATTGTGGTGGGGCCTCCAAAAAGTTAATGCCTGTATTTTAGTTCAATATAAACAAAAAAAAGACTGAATCTCACAAATACATAAATTAACTCAATACATCATTTGAAATCACAATCCAAACGACCCTAAGGTTATGAAAAGATGAAAAATAAGTAGTTAAATTTTCGCAAGTAACAACTTTTTTTAGTTAATTGTTCTACGCAAAATCAAAGCACACATTTCTTTGTTAACCTTGCTTTTGATTCCATCACCGTAGACATAAAAATACCTGAAGACATATCGACAGATTTCCAATCGAGGTTGCTAAAATAACGTTGAATTGATCGCCATTCGGCCTCACCGAACTCTCAGCGTCGACCACTAGACAGAGATGTGAGAAAAGCTCAACTCAACTCTGGGTGGAAGGATTGAAGCTCCTGTTCATAAAACAGGTTGAAAATCCACCACAGAAGAGATGATATTAGTTCGCATTCGTAACATCTGCAGCAGAAATGAAGATGAAGACGAGCCCGGACCAGATCTTTCCCATTTCATGAGATACGATACGGGTGACGAATGATGTGGCCATGGCCGCCCAAAGCCAATCTCTAAACCCACATTGCGTAATTTCAGTTGCGTGCGCTACACATTAATTATTACCCCGTTGCTGTTTTTATTCATTCATTGAACTTAACAACGGAGAGAAGCAACCGAGTCCTAGTGTGTCGGAATAAATCTGAATCAGTGTATTCTTTTCCCCAGGTCTTTCAGGCATTTCGTCGAACGCCATGGTTGCATTCCTTCAACTTTGAACAGCGGCCCCCCAAGGCCCCAACGAAGGAAGGATAATGATGATGACCTGCCGCACCCGCCCGACGTGAAATAACCAGAAGAGAGGAGGAGGGGGAGAAAGGAAGATGGCGGTGGTGATTGTGAGAGGCGCCGTGTGTTTGGTTCTGAGTTTGGGAGCCATTCTCTTGTGGTTTTATGTGGATGAACTCTACCTCTGGATCCCTTCGTCAAAGCTTCCTCTCAAGGTGACTAAACTGCCCATCGCTTTTCTTCTACATTTTGATCATCCAAGCCCCTTTCGTTTCTCTCTGCACATTGGATTGCAATCAGATTAGGGTTTGCGAATTGGGGAAATTGGTTGAAGAATTCTCGATTTCCCAAATCTGTAGCTTCATTTGTGAATTGTGATCTCGAGAAGTTATTGGCAGTTGGAACACGATCACGTTCATTGACCGTTTACCGGCGTGACTCTATGGGTCAGAGCCCGTTAAGTCTGGAAGAGAGTAAAGCGTGGCCCATGGACTCCGTGAAGGCCCATAAGCAGGAAGGCCTATTTCCAAATAGGCCTATTCGGCAGAAAACAAAAGGAGAAGTTGGTTGGAATGCTTCCGTCGCCCGCCCGCCAAATTTACCGAACACGCCGGCGGCAGGTGCTTCTCGTGGCGACAAATAACAAGACGGACGTTGTCTGCGCAAAGTCAAGAAAGAAATAACATTTAACAAAGAGCTGGGAAGTTTGGAAAATATGTTTCTTTTTTGGTTCTTGTAGTTGTGGGTTTGGTGGCATGTTGCTATTTGCTGTAGTTGGAAGAGTCTTGGTTTCCAAGGTTGGTTTGAGAAAGGAGTTGCTGCTGAGTTTTCCTTTGAAAACCATATGCCTTGCGTTTCACTCTTCTGCTTATGTAACACAACACCTACTCTCTCAGCTTTTCCCCGTGTGTTCATTGGCTTACCACTTTTCTTTAATGTCAGCTTCCCATAACTTAAAATCAATTTCAATCTGTGGAGTCTGAGATTTTTGGCAAACACATTTGATTAAATGGGTTGGTCGGATTCTGGAGCTCCACTTCTTGATTTGGGTGGTTCCTTTTATAATGGATAGTTTTCCCAAATCGATATAATGGGGAAGCAAGGGTCTCCCAGAAGTCCGCGTCCTGATACATCGATGAAGGATTATCAGACAAGAAGTTGTTCTGAAGGTGGGTTTGCAGGAAATGATCCTTCCTTAGGTAGGAGGCTGTCAGGTGGCGAAAGTGCCTTGAAAGCCAAAGTCATGTCACTCCACAGTTTAAGGCAAAATGATATTCATGCCGCCAAGATTGGTTCTTGTAAGGGAGCTTATGTTGGGAAAAGGCACACCTGGTTTAGCAAGCATGTGAGATCAGTCGCCACGATGTTGGCATTCGTGGGTTTTCTTTTCATGCTAGATTCATTGATGGTTTCTGTTTTTGATTCCATGTCGCTTGGAAAAAACATCTCAACATTGACCAAATCAAATGATGTATGTACTGCAATGTTTTCTTGGCTCTTAAATCCCTTTGAATTTACTGCTTCCCTATTTTCTCTGTCATAATCCTTATTTTCTCTGTCATAATCTTGTGTTGTTTTCGCATGAATCATAGGAGAATCATAAAGAGGAAGGGAAGCCACCGGTGCAGATGTATGGCCGCCTCTTAAGCTTAGCTTCTGGTGCACTTGCTGAGGTACAATGCAATTAGTTCATATGCATAACATTAGCTCTTGGATAATACACATTTACATATGTTTACAAATTCTGCTCTGCTTTAGAAAGAGTTGGAGCAACAAGAGACAAGGTTTTGGAAGCAACCTTATGCTACTAAGGCAAGTGTATGGAAACCTTGTGCAGATAAAAAAGTTCTTGAATACCCAGCAGGTAACTGAATGTTCTTTCTCTTATCTTAATGTATTTGGACTATGTTGGTTAATTACTGCCAACCTAATGCCTGGACTTTCAAAATGGTTTAATCGAGACATGAAGATTAGGGAAAAGTAATGGCTACATAGTGGTGAGTGCAAATGGTGGTCTCAATCAACAAAGAGTTGCTGTAAGTAATCATCAATCTTCTGGAACAAGGTGTAATTTTCTATGCATAGTCCAAATTGTTTTTATCTTAGTTTCAATTTCCATCCTTTCATGGCTGCTGCAGATTTGCAATGCTGTTGCGGTGGCAGCTTTACTCAATGCAACTCTAGTTCTTCCCACGTTTCTTTACAGCAATGTTTGGAAGGATCCAAGCCAATTTGGTGATATCTACCAGGAGAGACATTTCTTAGACATGATGAAGGAGGAAGTAGATATAGTGAAAGAACTTCCATCCCGTTTCCAATCTCTAGACACTGAAGCAATTGGCAGCCTGGTATATATATAGTGTAATACTTCAAGTTCTGTACCTTTTGTTGTTATGAGCTCGGTGTATCAGAACAATCCTGACCCTTCATCACTTTCCCCCCCCCCCCTTAAATTCAGATTACTGATTCTGACTTGCCAAAGGAGGCAACGCCACATGATTATCTCGAGAAGGTGCTACCAATTCTGATACGAAATGGATTTGTTCACTTGCTCGGGTTTGGGAATCGGCTTGGCTTTGATCCAATGCCTGCTCAAATTCAGGTAAATGGAAATTCCTTTATTCTCTCAGCTTAATTACAACCTCCTCCGGTCTAAGAGGACACGATTTACTTTCTACAAAAATTGAGGTGCAAATGTAACTTCCACGCTTTGAAGTTTGTTCCAAAGATCCAAAAAGTTGGTGCATTGTTGAGACAAAGGATAAGAAAGTATGAAGCTGAACCGACTACCTTAGATAAACAACTCCTGGGTGACTACATCTCTAGCAATATTCCCTCCAAAAAGCCATCTAATGCAACAAAACCACCAGTGAAATACCTTGCTCTGCACTTGAGATTTGAGATTGATATGATCGCTTACTCCTTATGTGACTTCGGAGGTGGGACTATTGAGAAACAGGAGCTTCAGGCTTATAGAGAAAGCCACTTCCCGCTGCTCATTAAACGTTTAAGAAAGTCCAAGTAAGTTTCTAACTTAGCTTTCCAAACTCTCCCATATTTATTGTGGAAGAATGGTGGTGCCGCCTCATCCATATTACCCTTCTTCCCCTCCCAACAGGCCAGTATCCACAGAAGAGCTAAGAAAGACAGGCAAATGCCCATTGACACCAGAGGAAGCAGCACTAGTCCTTGCTGGACTTGGATTCAAGACAGGAACTCATATCTACCTTGCGGGGTCTCAAGTCTATGGAGGGAACTCAAGAATGCATTCATTCATCGGCCTTTACCCTAACTTGATCACCAAGGAAACTCTCCTCACACCAACTGAACTTGCTCCCTTCAGGAATTTCTCGTCACAAATGGCTGCACTTGACTTGATCGCATGTGCCACTGCAGATGTGTTTGCAATGACTGATTCGGGAAGCCAGTTGGCATCATTGGTTTCAGGGTTCAGGAGTTACTATGGAGGTGGGAATGCTCCCACGTTGAGGCCAAACAAGAAGAGGCTTGCTGCAATTTTGTATGAGAATAGCACGATAGAATGGAATGGTTTTGAAGAGAGAGTAAGGCGAATGATTGAGGAAGGTCAAAGGGTGAGGACCAGGCGTTCTGGGAGAAGCGTGTATCGGCAGCCCAGATCTCCAGAATGCATGTGTAGATTGTAGTAAATGAAGAATGCTGTACATAAGCTTTTTTCTCATCATTTCCTCAATTCTTTATTTTGTTAATCAGACTTGCTACATAAATGATCTTTTCCGAGAAGGGGTTGGTTTGGATTTTGGAAGCAGTAATAAATATTTTCATAGGTAATCTTGGTGTCTGTTATCCCAAGTCATAGACAAATCAAAATGAATTAAATAAGGAGAGGAAGAAGAAGGAGAAGGAAAAGCAAGAACAACTTATTCCTGTCTCCTGGAAAACAAAATCCTAGATGGGATGTTAGAGTTCTAACTACTACTCTTCCTTTTCTCTCTCTGCAGCAATCAAACCTTAACTGGAAATGATGTTTTTCCTCTAACAAACCAGCAAGCAAAACCTGAACAAAACTCTGCTGCTCCTGATTTTTCTTGATTCAACTTTTCAGGATGGAGGGAAGAAACGATTGAGGTTGAAAGGTAGGGTGTAGAATTCTTCATTCCTGCTGTCTCCTTGGAATGATCTGAATTTAGCCCACCATGGCATTCCTCTATCTCTGGCACTATCCTTGTAGTCAAGTGTATTGTCCAGGAACACTCCTACTATCAACGCCACGGTTGGGGATGAGAAGAAGATTGTGTTCAGGAAATCATTGAACTGCACTCAACCAGTCAAAGATCAACAACAGCGGGGAAGAGGAGTTTGTTAGCAAATTGGACATGAGAAGGAATCAAGAATCACCATGCAAAATGCGAAAAAGACATTCTTACCCAGCCGGCTTTCGTGTGAGATGGACCATGGTAAGCCTTGGAAGTGTATTCCCTGAAGTACTCAGGGATAGACAGACCAAGAAACAAGGCAACTCCGACGATGAACAGGTTCCTCATTGAGTTCATATTTGTGAATTGCAAGAATGACAAACCAACGGAAGCTGACAGACAAGAACCAGGAAATAGTTTAATGTCAAAATTAGAGTTCAGATGTCAAAGGAAATGGAGGAGAAGGAGAAAGCTTTGCCACTCACCAACAAGACCAAAGAGGACACAGTACAAAGCAGCAAATATTGGGAATGGTATTGATGCAAATAATGCTCCAAATTTCCCTGTGAGAAGAATTTCTACCAAATGAGATTGATTGATAATGGAGGAATTAACAAAGGAGCAGACCAACCAAAGTGAGCGATAGTCATTTACCCAAGATTGAGAAGAAGATCATGAAACCAGCTGCAATTTGAATGACTCTCCGACTGCCAACACGAGTGCTCCCAAGCAACCCCACATTTTCTCTGTTAAAAATTACCCCACAAGGAAGAGTTAGTCTGCCATTTTTGTCTCCTAGACATTGCTCTTGATCTATGTACCAGATACTTACGCGGACACAGTGCAGCCACTCAACGTTCCAAACATGCCACTAAGCAGTATGCCAATTCCTTGCCAGCCAATTCCGCGGCTAAGCACATGAGCTGGTGGCGGCGTGGCACTTGCTAGCCTTGATGCAGCTTTGTATCCTCCAGTTGACTGTGTCAATAGAAGAAAGAAATCCCCTTTATAAGCACATCTGTACATGACTCATGAAAAGCAACCATTGAGGCTGTTCTTTCTTATATTATCAAGTTTTACCTCAATGAGTGAGACTATAACAGCAGCCATCATCCCAAAGCAATGACCAGCATCAAAAGTTGGGGCTCCCCATTGCAGTGGATAAGGAATCTTTATCCTGTAAAACATTAGTAGTAAAATATCGGCATAGAAGAGAAGGGAGAAACCAAAGCCTTTTGAGATTAGAATTTCTAAACGCACCATGGAGCAGCAGAAATGAGGTAGGCCCTGTCAGTTCTGCAGTTGCCCTGCGTAAGGTCTGGACGATGCTTGTATGCGCCACTTGCTGTCAAGAGATGTGCATATGCCCATATTACAGTAACCGATATTAGCAAGGCGAACCGCTCTAGTACTGGCAATTGCCTGAAGTGAAAGTTCTTCAAGTACTGTAAACACACAAAACGAGTTATGATCACGGATAGAAAGGCATGGCCGGCCTTCAGTTGGAACTTATCCAATCGAGATTAAGATGATTATCGACATGAACTGAAAGGGATTGTGATGTGTGGTTAGATGAAGCACCTGAGAGAAGGTTACGAATAGTATGAGCATGGGCACTCCAATTTCCACACAACGCCCAACCTGGCAAATGGATCGAGGCAAAATGTACAAGAAGATTAGGATGGCATTTTCAGCTAAGGGTGATTTGCATCAAAAGTCCAGTATCAAAATGTCTTTATACCACAGGGAAGCCTCTGTCAAATAGTCCAAAACCCAGTAAAGAAATTACTGGAACCATCCCAAGTGGGCTGAAGAACCTGCAATCGATAAAATGAATTTCACAGGTTCATCAATCATCATCAGATTTTGTGAAAGCCACAGGCTTCATCTGTCTGAGTGAGGGTGATCAGTATTACCTGGAACAAATGGCCCACAATTGACTGTATCCAAGAATTATCTGAATGCTAGATGATACTATTAAAGCACCTTGTACAGCTCTCATGCTGCTCAAAAACCTCTATACACAGTAACCAAAAAAGGCACTAATTAGAAACCAAAAATAGTTTTTTAGTTAATAATCTGTGGAAATTCATTGACCAAACTTTAATAATTCAAATTGTGACGGACTAACTAGTAACTAAATCTGCAATTGGGAAAACAGAAGCCTTTTGACTCAGACTAACATAGATGTTTGTCCCGTAAACAACTGGGGATTTCACGTCAAGCAGGCAATGCAATGCAGAATTCAGAGAGAACTGTTCAAAAGACCAGGACTTTACTAACCAAATGATCGTCCTCTATTCTGGTCAAAGCAGGGTCGTGAATTATTGACATGATTGGGACCATAAATGCGTAGGAGCCACCAATCACGGTGGGGAGACGCGTCCCAAACAGTGTCTGAATAAGGGTATTGATCCCTTGTACGAACAGTAGAGTCTGTACCACTCTGACTTTATCCCCCTGTCACCATCATCAAAATTATGCTCAACACAAACAAAACAAAAGGGGAGTTTTTGTTCTTTTCTTTTGCTCCAAGATTGATAGAATTGTTTAATGAACTACTTACATGGTCACCGCCCATCAAAGGGACAAGGAAGGTTGGAATCATAACGGCTGTCCCTAAAGCCAAAATGTAATGCTGGAAACCCAAAGCAATTGACTCCCCTGCTTTCACATGAACAAGGTGGAAAAGGAGTTCAGAATCACAGAAGAAAAAATAAGGGGGCATTGATGGAAGAAGAAGAAGAAGAAGAAGAAGAAGAAGAAGAAGAAGAAGAGCAACTCAATAGGCATTGTTACCCCAAGAAGGATTGGAATCAATACAGTACTCCAAACCCTGGAGCTGATCCATTGCCGGGTGACTTATCTCTTCAGGCTTTGGATCAGCCATTTTTTGCTGCCTCAACTAAACCCTGCTCTGTAAGAACCACAAAAAGCTCGCAACTTTCGGTGCCAAAGACTAACAGGTAGCGATCAAATGAATCAAAGAAGAGACTGACAGAGAGAAAACAACGGATCCCTTCTCAACTATGGAGCAAAGCAAGATGATTGACTCCGGAGGAAGAAGAAAGGAGAAAACAATACGAGATAGAAAACCAGAGAAAATGGGGGGTTTTCCGGCGGAGGGAGTAGAGAGGTAGAAAGGGACAGTTGAGGAACTAAAGAGAGAGACTGAGGCAGTAGAAGCCAGTCTAAAGAAGTAGCCGCTTCACTTCACTTCACTTGCCGCCCACTTTAAAAAGCTTGTGGCTTTCTAGTGAGAGAGTGACGAGAGAGAGACAGTGATTCTGTTTGATGGATGTTTTTATTAATTTCGATTTGGATTTTTGCGGGGGAAAATAAATAACTGTTGGCGATTTAGCTTTTTGATTTGCCGAGAGGGAGAGAATAGAAAGGTGCCGTTAACTTTTTCTGTAATGCCAAAACTGCCCTCCAAGCAAATCTCTCTTCCTCTCCCAAAGGCTTTTTCTGATATGTTACCGTTGCCTTTTGCTACAGTTCATGAGTTGCCACTTGCCCAACTCACTCACTTTACCTCCTTAGTGCATCTCTCTTTGAGTTTCCCCTTTCCCTAATATATAATTGTTTTCGTCCCGAAAGGTCACATAGGTTAGCGGTGATATCCTTAGTCTAGCGGTGAATTCCATAGTGGGTGCTACTTTCAAGAAGTGGTAGATCTTGTATTTGACCCCATCAAGATCCCCTATGGTGTTTCTGGAGGCATTTAATGAAAATCTTCGTGATGAGCTCAAAGAACTCAAGTAGGTGAACCTCCAAATTTGATCTCGCTCTACCGCTACCAAGTTAACTGACGTGCTTAAACAAATAACGTCATATTACGGTTATTAATTATTGGTTGGTTATTGTAAATTAGATAATTAATAACCAAGTGTCCTAGTCCTTGTTGAAGCCGAGTCTCATCCTAGTCGGCTTAGGTTTTCTTGTCCAAGTCATCTATATATACTTAGCTGCTACTTAATGTCGCAGCAAGTAAGTCAGTTCTTCATCAGAGAATAAAATTGTCAGCCGAGAGCTCGTTCGAGCTCTCTGTGGATTAGTCATGTTCACGTCGAACAGGGATACCACGTAAATCGTCGTCTCCGATTTACTTTTCCGCGTTATCGTTTTCTACATGGTATCAGAGCTGAGCTCGACAAGCGTTAGGGTTTGAGTTCATCGTTCGTCTCTTGATTGTTCAAGTTACTTGGTTAGAGCTACGTCATCATGGGTGACGGGTCAAGCGCCGCCAATGAAGGAAAGGATGCATTGCTGTCTGTTGAAGCAACTGGTCCAACTTCTCCGTTGTTTCTCCATCCCTCTAACACGCTGAGTCAGGTATTCGTCGCTGATCTCCTCACCGACATGAACTACGGCGAATGGTGAGCTGAGATGTCGAATGCCTTGCTTGCAAAGAACAAGCTAGGTTTTGTTCTTGGAACCGTTCCACGACCTGCATCTGGGGAACCTCTCAGCGCATGGACTAGATGCAACGCGATGGTGGTGGGATGGTTACGTCAAGCTATGTCTCGGGAGATTCGTAGCAGTCTTAGTTCCAGCTTCACGTCAAAGCAGATATGGGATGAATTGCAAGAGAGATTCAGCACTAGTTTGTTGCCCCGCAGGTACAAAATTCTGCGCCAACTCACAGCTTTGCGTCAGGTTTGCTTGTCATTCTCCATGTTTTATGCAAAGCTCAAACGACTGTGGGACGATTGGAAACTGCACGTGCAACATTGAGCAGCGCACCCGCGAATCTCATGAAGCTATTGGATTTTCTTGTCGGTTTGGATGAGAGTTACTCTACAGTTCGTACGCACCTTCTTTCCATCAAGCCAGCACCTAGCCTCGGTGAGGCATATCACGCTGTGGACAACGAGGAGTAGCAAAGGACCATTACCAACGAGCAGCGTCCTCGTGTTGACACAACTGCATATCAAGGCCAGGGGGAGCGTGCTTCTTCGGACGAACGAACACCAGATGGGCGCCCTAAGTGACTTCATTGCGGAAAAATTGGGCATTTTCGTGATACTTGTTATGATATCATAGGCTGGCCAGCTAAAAGTGGTGAAAAAGGTGACAAGCAGCAGCGCCGTCGCAATCCATCATGGCAGCCTCGTTCAGACCGCACGCAGCAGCCGTTGAGAGTTCCGATTTGTCCGTACCTGGGCTCACTGCTGAGCAGATTGCTCAACTCAAGGCATTTTTGAACATGGATATCACCAACAGTACGACATCGTCCTCGTCCCAGCCCAAGGCCAACATGTCAGGTACGATTTCTTCTAATTTTTCAAATAAGTGGGTTATTGATTCAGGCTGTAATGAGCATATCGCTAAAGATACCTCGTTATTGCATGGTGAGTTGGAGACCAACTCCGGTCTACAGGTACGAATACCCAATGGGGCGGGTATTCCTGTTCGTGGTATTGGATTTTCTAAGTTGGCGAATGGGCTGGAGCTTCGTCGAGTCTTACATGTTCCCGATTTTCAATGCAATCTCTTATCAGTTAGTCGTCTAACAGCAGATCATGCAGTGGCTGTGATTTTTCTCAATAATTTCTGTGTGATTCAGGACTTAAGCTCCAGAGAGATGATTGGGTTGGGTAAACATGTTGATGGTCTCTACTACCTGCAAGTGTTTAATGAAGGTCATTCGGTGGCATTCGTAGCTCGGCAGGCAGTTAGGGATTCAGAGCTCTGGCATTCACGACTTGGACATTCGTCGGCAACAAAGTTGTCCGCTCTGCAATCTTATATTTCTAGTACTTTAGTCGCAGATAAGAACCCATGCTTGTCTTGTTTGCGTGCTAAATAGACTCGGTTGCCTTTTGTTTCTAGTTCGATTAAGACACATGCTTGCTTTGATCTCATTCACATTGACATATGGGGTGGCTATGAGCAGGCCTCGTTTTCTGGTGCACACTATTTTCTTACAATTGTGGATGATTTTAGCAGAACTGTGTGGGTTTATCTCTTAAAGGCAAAGTCAGAAGTATCTCGATATCTCTTGCTCTTTTGTAATCAGGTGCGCACACAACATAACAGTCAAGTTCGTCGCATTCAAAGCGACAACGGTGGAGAGTTCAGTGTGCCAAAACTGCGTGATTACTACGAAAATGAAGGGATAGTGCTTCAAACCTCCTGTCCGAACACTCCCCAGCAAAATGGAGTTGTTGAACTCAAGCATCGCCATCTGCTCGATACTGCACGAGCACTTCGGTTTCATGCAGGTTTGCCCATTCAGTTCTGGGGAGAATGTATTCTCACCGCGGCATACCTCATTAATCGAATGCCACTTGATCCACTCCAGGGTCGTACTCCTCACGAAGTTCTTCTTGGCCGTCCGGCTGAATACAGTCATTTGAGAAATTTCGCCTGCCTGGTGTTTGTCAAAAACACCCGTGGTCATCTGACCAAGTTTGCTCCACGAGGAAAGCCTGGTATTTTCGTTGGTTATCCGGCAAGTCAACATGGGTATCGTATCTTTGATATCCTTAGTCTCACTATCTACACGTCCCGAGACGTGTTGTTCTTGGAAGACAACTTCCCGTTCCGTCATCTCTCATCACCCTCGACATCACCATTACCCGCCATGCGTGACTCGTTTTGCTTAAATAATGATGATGATGAGCCTACTGATGATTCCATGTTTGACATGGTGCAAGCTGTCGCAGATTCCCTTGACTCCCCTCCTAGTCCCGATGATATGCAATTGTCATCACCATCATCCCCTTCGCCTGAAACACCTCCATCGGCGGTTTCGCCACAATCTACTCCAACCAGCTCACCTTCGGATACTGCTACTTGCACTGCTTCTTCGTCGTCACGGGGGACAGTTCCCAACTCCCCTGTCATTGACATCTCCTTCGAGGATTCCCTTGTCACAGATGATTCCCGTGCCATTGACATATCCCTTGAGCCCTCGGAGCCGTCTTCGCCACCTCGGCGCAGCACGCGGGTCAATCGGCGTCCAGTTCACCTCAAAGACTATGACGTTGACCTTCCTGATAGTTCGGACAATAATACTAAAGCTCTTTATTCACATAGCAACTATGTGCGATATGATCGATTGTCACCGAACATAGAGCCTTTGTTGCCAACGTTTCAGCAACTTTTGAGCCCAAGTATTTTTGGCAAGCTGTCCAATATGAGCACTGGCGTGTTTTCATGCAAGAAGATATCAATGCTCTCGAGGCTAATGGTACATGGTCACTGGAGGACCTACCACCAAGCAAACGCGCCATTGCGTTTAAGTGGGTTTATAAAATCAAGTATAAACCCGATGGTACAGTTGATCGTTACAAAGCACGCCTGGTTGCCAAGGGTTTCACTCAAATTGAAGGTATTGACTTTCATGATACCTTTGCCCCGATCGCCAAGCTGGTTACTGTCCGCTATCTCATTGCTCTCGCTGTCAGTCAAAATTGGTTTCTCTACCAGTTAGATGTCAACAACGCCTTTCTTCACGGTGATCTAAGTGAAGAGGTGTATATGAAGGTCCCTCAAGGGTTCGCTCGTCCAGGGGATTCTCGGGTATGTCGCCTTCATAAGTCTATCTACGATTTGCGTCAGGCATCTCGGAATTGGTATCACAAGTTCTCCTGAGCTCTCCTTGATTTTCACTTTGTCCAGAGCCGCGCGGATCACTCTCTTTTCATCCATCGCTCTGGCGCTCGTTTCGTTGCTGCATTGATCTATGTTGATGATGTTATCCTCGCTGTGAACGATTCAGACTTCATCCAGGCTGTCAAGAACTACCTCCATGAGAAGTTCACTATCAAAGATTTAGGTACCACGAAGTACTTTTTGGGCATCGAGGTGGCTAGATCGCACAAAGGGATCGTTCTCAATCAA